TGCAGACATCTGTCTTTCACTTCTTGCTTGCTATTAATTCTGTCTTTTTCTGATATGAGCCACACATGTAATTGTACTTTTATGAGAACTTTCCTTTTTGTAGGGTGGAAGAGAAGTGGATGGGCCACACCTGACTTTGCTCAAGAGCGTCACCTTTCCACTAATCAAACCCTTAACTCTGTGCTCAGGGATCACTGCTGGCCATATGTTGGTGCCCCTATGCAGTGTTGGGTATTGAACCCAGGTCAGAAATGTGCAATGAAAGTCTCTGGTCCTACTTTCTTTCCTTTTTTGGGGGGGGCACACCCGGCAATGCACAAGGGTTACTCCTGGCTTTGCACTCAGGAATCACTCCTGGCGGTGCTCAGGGGACCATAATGGATGCTGAGAATCGAACCCAGATTGGCCATGTGCAAGGCCACTGTACTACTGCTCCAGCCCTCCGGTCCTACTTTCTTTTTCATTTTTTAATTGAGAGGTAACATTAGTTGACAGGAATGTAAAAGATTATGTATTCTAGAGGTACAGCTTTGCCACAACACCCCACCACCGCCAGAGCTTCAATAGAACTCAACTACTGTTCATAGAGCCCCAGCGCTTCTGTCCACTCCACATCTTGGTAAAATCCATTCTTTGATCAGGGTCTAATCAGTTCTCATTGGACATCGTCTAGTCCTTTGCTTTGTTTCTTTAGATCCCATCTCCGAGTAGGATCATCTGCTATTTGTCCTTTTCTCTCTGACTTCACTTAACATGACACTCTCAGCTTCCATCCGGGGTGGACTTTGGGGGTAGAGAGCAGCTCTATGATGAGTTGTGTGAGGAACACCAAAGCTATTCTTCACAGTGGCACCCCTATTTGCGTTCCCATCACCCATGTGTAAAGACTCCAGTTTCTCCACATCTTCGCCCGCATTCATTGCTCTCTTTTTTTTCATCATAGTCATTTGAATGGATGGAAAGTGGCATCTCACTGCAGTTTTGATTTGCCTTTCCCCATGACTCATTTACCTCTTATAACTTGACTGCATCCTGACCCTCCATAGATGATGCATTACATTTTTTGTCAGTGTGATTACAAATGGGTCCATGATTGAGTTTCAGGCATATAATGTTCTAACACCAATCGAACCAGTAGTGTCAGCTTCCCTCACCCAAGTCCTCAGGTTCCTTCCGGTCCCCCAACCTATCTCTTTAACACACAATTCTAAGTTTAATTATTGTGGTTTGTCATTTAGATATATAAATAAACCACCCCTCTAACCACCGATGTGTGTATCATTCCCTGTTACCTCCCATTTGCTTCTTCTTACTTCCCTTCATTGTTTCTTCTTTGCTGCCTTTTTGTTTCTATGAAGGGCCAAGAGTTGACTCACATTTGTTACCTTGCCTTCCATTGTCGTGTTATTGTATATACCACAGATTAGTAAGATATTTGGTATTTGATCTTTTTCTTCTGACTTACTTTACTTAACATGATACCTTCCAGTTCCATCCAAGTTGTAGCCAATGGCATGATTTCATCATTCTTTACATTTGCATAGTTTTATACTGTGTATCTATGCCACCCCTTCATTATCCACTCACGAGTGTTTGAAACCTAGGTGGGTTCCATATCCCACCTATTGTACTAAGTGCTGCATATTATTCTTTGGTATAAATCCTTGTGAGTGTCACCTTTCTACTAATCAAAAAAATTCAAATGACTGTGCTATATTAGTCCTTAAAATCACTAGCTAAACTTTGGAAAGAATACTAAGAATGATATGTTGGTAAGTAACCTGGTATACTTGCTAATAACCACCTCAGATGATGAAAGATTTATTTATCTTGGGCATAAAAAAGTTGACTAGAACTTGAAAATATCCAAATCATCTTGAGTACATTCATTTATCTGACCTATGGGAAATATTTTATATCAATATCTTTCTGGCTTATAGCATCATAATAATGAAAATTTGGTAATGGCTAACATTGTGGGGTTTAGTGCTCTGCTAAACATCTATAAATGGAGCCAGAGACATGGTTTAGAAATTAAAAGGCACTTGGTTTGCATGGGCCGAGCCCATTTCAAACTCATCAATTTGAGCACCTCCAGGAGTGACCTCTGAGCACAAATCGAGTGTTCCTGAGTACCACTGAGTATGGTCCAAACCCTCCTCCCTAGTACCAAACTGTTCATTCGTTGTCTCATTTGATCATTGCAACCTCTCATTAGTTTCATTTTACCGACACAGAAACTTCAGCTCGATAATTTTAGTATTTGACAAAATGTAGAATTTTCCACTGCTGAGTAATTGAGGGTGTGGAGTAGCTGGCATTTGAAATTCACAGGAATCAACCTCCAAAATTATTGCTCTTTGCTTTAGTCCTGACAGCTTTAAAGGGGGCTGTTCTGACAATCCATTCATCATTACATTATGATTGCTAAATGCAGCTGTATACTAAATTCAACTAAAGAGTTATGAGGCAGTTTTTAAAACAGTCTCTTGGGCTGCGGCGATAGTACAGTGATTCGGGTGTTTGCCATGCACACAGCTGACCTGGGTTCGATCCCAGTATCCTATATGGTCCCCCATGCACCGCCAGCAAAGATCCCTGAGCATCACTGATCGTTGCCCCCCCACAAAGGAAAACAAAACAAAGAAAACCCACAGACTCTTCCTCTATCCATCATTTGTGTCCTGTGGAGTAACAAGTATTCAGTGACATATGAGGAGGCCTTTTAGTTTTCCAAGTTACTTTGTTCAAATTTCCAAAGACATGCTGCTGGGTTCGGGGCTTTGATGGCCCAAGCTGTGTTCACATTATTCACATTCTTTGTGGTTTTCTCCAACTTTTTATCTTGACCAACACCAAGGTATACCACTATTTCTTCATTAAAGTGGGAGGTCCTCAAATTCATTCAGTCCCTCATCCCCTCAATATTTAGCTGGACGTTTTTTCCTACTCGTCCACTACTCAGTTCCAGCGCATTAATCCAAGAAAACAGTAAAAGCTTTTGGGCAGCTGGGAGAAGTTTAGAGGGCCTTTTGAAAAAGCTTCTACTAGGGAGGTTAGATTGGAAGGCTTTGCTTTGAATTCCATTTTTCTTGCCACGTGCTCTGTTAGTAAGAGACACTTTGGAGGTAAGAGAAGGCCTAAGGGACACTCTTTTATTAAAGAGAGGCCCATCATTTCCCATAGACTAATGGCCATATTCCATTTTCTCATGGAGCGGGGTAATTATTCAGCCTCACTCTGTAGTCTCAGTTTCCACTCTTGGGAACTGCGTTATTACCTTGTAAAACAGAGTATCTCTCCTATTAGTGTTAATTGAACCCATCTTTTTCCTTGGTGAGAAACTCTAATGCTGCCTTTTCTTTGCCCTATTTTGAGCCTTTTCACTGTGGTTATGGAAGAAGCAAGGCTGTGAAGTTCAAGGTTATGGGGAAGCAAACACTGGGCATCAGGACTGTAGATGTCCCACTAGTCTTTCTTTTTTCCATTTTTTTTCTTTTTACTTTTTTTGGGTCACACCTGACAACACACAGGGCTTTCTCCTGGTTCATGCACACAGGAATCACTCCTGGCGGTGCTCAGGGGACCATATGGGATGCTGGGAATTGAACCCGGGTCAGCCGCGTGCAAGGCAAACACCCTACCCACTGTGCCATTGCTCCAGCCCACTAGCCTTTCTTGCATGGTGTACCCTTGCTTGATGGCGACTTGAAGCAAGCTGTAAATTTTCTTAACTGACCAGTTGAAGCAAAAAAGTGTGATGATTAACAAGATGGAAAGCAGCCTTAAATTCAAAAGAATCATTTCCACTGTGTTTCTTCTGTGGTCCAGATCTGACAACCATCCCTAGAAGGCATCTGTGTGCTCAGGAGTCCCACCAGTGTCCAAATGAGATTCTGGCCTCCGGCTCCTCTCCCTCGGCCTGTATATCAGGCCAGCCCATACTTAGCCTAGAGACACTGCTGAATAATTACTCAGATGCCAGAAAATTCCCTGACAAAAAATCTTCAAACACTTAGTGGAAACTTAAGATAGACTGGGATATGAAGGAAGTTTTAACTCTCTTTCTAACAGGAGCTCTACTTTGGAATTTTTTTCTTTTTATTTGTTGTCTACTGGACATCGATTGCATAGATATTCCAATGTTTCTGTATTAACGTATCCCCTTCTTTCCACTCTGCAGTATCTTTGTGCCTATGTACATCTGAAAGAAGATAATAGCCTGGGTATTTATGTGTGTTTTTATATGTTTCAAGACCTAAAACCATACCCAAAATATTTTCTCCCCCCCTTCTCTCTCTCTCTCACACACACAGACACAGACACAGACACCCCTTATCATAAAAGGCAAGGCAAGCAAATAATAAAATATGCTAGGATCCCATTCTTCCAGCACCTTTCCCATAAGATCTACTCTCTACAGACAAAGAACAAAGAGACCCCTGTCCTCTGGCAGATGTGAGTTTCTCTGACTCCGAGGTCAGCAGAATTTCAGAGAGTTTCTATTGCTCTGAGCACCCTTGTGATTCTGAACTGCAACCATTAACCAGAACGTGTACGGAAAGGGGCCTGCTCTAGGGTTAATAGCCTTGTAAATTACAATCAATGCACCCAATTACACTTAGAAACCCAGAGATATGTAGAGCTCCAATATGCTTCGTAATCAGCAGCACCTTTGAGAATGTAGGTAACGCATTGTGAACCCCCCCAAATAAAAGTGTAACATGCAGGGAAATGAATGTGAGAATTAAATCACCCTTCAGATGGGAATAACACATTATATGGCAGGTGACTTTTTACCTAATATCATTTTATTGATTTAGAAAGGAAGAGAAAAAAAACACGTACGTGTGGCCTCGTGGTTCAAAATGTCTTTAAAAATCACGCCTGGCTCTACTCAGTCTGGCAGAACCTTTCTGTCATGCTGATAAGGAAATGAACCTTTCTCAGACTGGGGTTTAACTTGCCTCTTACACAAGGATGTTTTGTTGTTCTTTCAGGGAACTCATTCAGAAGCTGAAGTCCTTCATTAGCTTCTACAGTGCTCTGCCCGGTTACGTCTGCAGCCACAGCCCTGTGGCCGAAAACGATACCCTTTGCTGGAACGGACAAGAACTTGTGGAGAGGTAATGGTTTTTGAGTGTTAAATAGAGCAGTATTTGGGAAAGAGTCATTGGTCGCTTCTCTCAACATCAGCTGCATCTTCTCTCTGCCTCTGTTAGATTCCCTAGAATAAAACACACAACTGAGCATCTGTGACATTCTGATGCTCCCTGTAACTTAGAGCCCTCACTGAATTGGAACGCTTTGAAGCACCTAGTGAACTGCACATTCAGTAATATTTCACTGTTTTTCAAAAAATATAGCACTGTAGCACTGCCCTCCCATTGTTCATGGATTTGCTCAAGCGGGCACCAGTAACATCTCCATTCTGAGACTTGTTACTGATTTTGGTATATCAAATACGCCACTGGGAGCTTGCCAGGCTGGCCACATGCAAGGCAAATGCCTTACGACTGTGCTATCGCTCCAGCCTGCTCCTCATGCTATAGACTCTTATTAATTGTTGAAGTAACCATATTCAAACGAATAGATAGCTTTTGAGAGACTACATATCAAACACCTTGTTAGTATTTACCTGTATAACCATATTCATCCTCAGACTAATTTTAGGAAACACATATTGTTACATTTTCCCAGTTTACTGATAAAGATAGAGGAAAGGAGAAAAGTGGGAGAGTGTACCTTTTTACTAAGCAGCTTTACTGAAATGGGTAATCATAAAGTATTAATATCATCTGTGCTTATGTTCCCTTAGCAAGAATTTGCTCAGAGAGCTGCAGTGATAGTGCAGCAGGCAGGGCACATGCCATGTATGTGGCTGACCTGGTTTTGATTCCCATGACCCCTTATGGTCTCCTGAGCTTGCCAGGAGTGGTCCTTGAGCTCAGAGCTAGGCATAAGCCTAAAACACTGCTGTGTGTGGCCCAAAACCCAATAAAATAAAACAAGTTGCTCAGAGCCAGAAAAAAAATAACAGCTACTCATGTGTTGAGCAAATATTTATCGGGCACCTTCTAAGTGCCAGTGACATCGAAAACATTTTTGTCCGCATGAAACTTTTAGTGAACTACTAAAATTAGTATTCCTGACCTCTATTACTTCACATGAATGAAGCATATCTTGCCATCAAGGAATGGCCTCGGGTCTACTCTTTAGGAAGTCTCCATCCTGAAAGGACTCAGTATCAGGACATAAGCTAATTAATCATGATGGAACTGGAATTAATTAACTGGGCTGGAGTGATAGCACAGCGGTAGGGCATTTGCCTTACAAGCGGCCAACATGGCCGACCTGAGTTCGATTCCTCTGTCCCTCTCGGAGAGCCCGACAAGCTACCGAGAGTATCTCGCGCACACGGCAGAGCCTGGCAAGCTCCCCGTGACGTATTTGATATGCCAAACACAGTAACAACAGGTCTCATGATGGAGACATTACTGGAGACGTTACTGGGCCCGCTCGAGCAAATCGATGAACAACGGGAGAACCATGACCATTACCATGACCATTATACAAGAACCAGGGAAAGACTTTGGAGCCAGTTGTGGGTTTACATCTCTTTTCTCTTACTTGCTGTGTACTTTTGGGAGTGAATCATTTCGCCTAGAATAGCATTCTTTAGACAGCAGTCTCAGGTGTAGAAAGATTGAGACAACTGGTCTACTGCCTAAGTTCTAACTGCCAGTCGGACCTGTATTCAGATCAGGCCTGTAGGGCTCAAACAGAAGAATGATGCCCTAGAATGTCTGGTCTTCCCCTTGGAGGGGGCTAGACTACTTAACTTGCAGGTGACATCATGAAAGTAAATCCCAAAGCAGACGGATACATGCTAGAATCTCGGTCCATGTAACTTTTCTTTCTCCCTTTCCAATTGCTCTCCTTTCCTACACAAGGCAAAACAAAACAGCTAGTTTCTTGACTACGGTATTTTCCTAACCCACAAAGGGGAATGAGATGCTCAGAGCTACTAAGATTGCAAGCCACCTGAGAAGAGGCACCACACTCTCATGGAGCTAGATTTTCCCCGTAGCAAATGCAAATTCATCCAGTTGGATGATCGACCCTACAAAACTCGTTGCATTCTGGAAAATGGTGTCTATTCATCATCCCAAAAACTTATCAGGTACTAAGTGGAATCATGAAAATATACTTAACTGTTTGGATGTGTTTCATTAATTGCCAGAGAAAAGCAGTTGATATTTGACTTTATTAAAGACAGCTGCTTTAAGGCAGGTGTAAACAATATATTTTTAAAAGAAACTGCATGGTGGGTCTTGTGTAAACTTGAAGGAAAACGGTCCCCAATGACTTTCCAAATGTGACCCTCAATGAGAAACTCCTGGTCTGGAGAGTTGGTACAGCTGGTAAAACAACTGCCTCACAGGCCCTGGTTCCATTCCCAGCACCACAAAGTGTCCCCAGAGCTCTGCCAGGAGTAGTCCCTGAGCATAGAACCAGCAGTAAGCCATGAGCACAGCCAGATGTTTCCCCCACCCCAAAACAAGCAATTCTTGAATACTGATTCCTTTGAAGCAGTGTCATTCCTTCCAGAGGTTTCTTATTGCAGAGGAAATTAAATTTGACAACATTTCTTTTGGGCCAGAGCGATAGCACAGCAGGTAGGGCGTTTGCCTAGCACGCAGCCAACATGGCCAACCCAAGTTCGATTCCTCTGCCCCTCTCGGAGATCCCGGCAAGCTACCAAGAGTATCTCGCCCACATGGCAAAGCCTGGCAAGCTACCCATAACATATTCGATATGCCAAACACAGTAACAACAAAGTCTCACAATGGAGCCGTTACTGGGCCCACTCGAGCAAATCGATGAACAATGGGAGGACAGTGACAGTAACATTTATTTTTAATGTTTCCATTCATTCAGTTATGAACTCATTTAACAAATATCTGAGCACCTATGAGTATTAAGCATCAATGCAACTAGCTTCATTATTATGTTCCTTAAGGTAAATGTTACCCTGATGGGTGTTTTCTTTGCTTGTTCTTCAAAAAAAATTCAGAGGGCAGAGAGGGAGTACAGAGGTGAAGGCACTTGACTTGTATGCAGCTGACCCTGGCTCATTCTGCACACATGGAGTGACAAGTCACTCCTGAACATATATCCAGAAATAGCCGCTAAGAAGCACTGCCGGGTGTGACCCAACCAGCCTCCACTCCTCCCCGCAATCAGATGATCTGGTTTAATTCAGTCAAAAGAATTCCCAGGACTAATTTTACATAAGTTTCAGGTGTAGAGCATTAGACTCCAACATCCAAATTTACTCTGTTATGATCACCATTAAAAATTCAGGTTTCTAGGGATGGGGTGATTGATAGTATAGTAGGTAGGGCATTTTATCTTGTACATGGTACAAGGCCAACCCACATTGGATACCTGGAACCCTATATATCCCTGAGCCCTGATAGGAGTGATTCCTGAGCCCCACTGTGCCCTCCACACCCCCCCAAAAGGGAAGCCTCCAGCCACCACTCTCTGCCCACCCACCTACCCCTCAAATAACCACTATTTTACTGTTGGAATCCAAGAATTTGTGTGTGTGTGTGTGTGTGTGTGTGTGTGTTTTATTTTGGGTTTTTTTGTGGTGGAGGGGAGCAGGGACACCATTTGACACTCAGAGGTTACTCTTGACTGTGAACTCAGGAATTTTTTTCTGGCAGTGCTCAGGAGATCATATGGGCTGCTGGGGATTGAACCCCGGTTTGGCTGTGCGCAAGGCAAACAGCCTACCAGCTATACTATTGCTCTGGCCCAGTTTCTGTTTTGTTTGTTCAGGTTCTTTGTTTCTTTAGCTCCCACATGTGAGGGAAAGAATATGGCAGTTGTCTTTATCTGACTAATTTCACTGAGCATTATCCCCTGACGGGCTGGAGCGATAGCACAGCGGGTAGGGCGTTCGCCTCACAAGCGGCCAATATGGCCGACCCGAGTTCGATTCCTCCGAACCCTCTCGGAGAGCCCGGCAAGCTACCGAGAGTATTCGATATGCCAGACACAGTAACAACAAAGTCTCCAATGGAGACGTTACTGGGCCCGCTCGAGCAAATCGACGATCAACGGGAGGGCCTTTACCTTTTACCTTTATTATCCCCTGAAGGCCCATCTCTGTTGTTGCAAATGTCAAGATTTCCCCCTTTCTTAATAGAATTTTGCTTTTATAACCTATTTCATGCCTAGGATTCTTTTCTGAGGTATGTTGCCCTGACACTAAGAAAGTTTTCTATCAAATTGAAGTCCTTTTCAATTGGCGCATTCTGAAGCCAGCTAAATTTAAATGAGTTGAAAAGTTAGTCAAGGGGCCAGACAATAGGAAAGCAGGTAGGGCGCTTCCCTAGCTTGCAACTTTGATCCCCAGCATCCCATATGGTCCCCCTGCTCCATCAGGAATGATCCCTGATTACAGAGTTAGGAGCAAGCCCTGAACTCTGCCATTTTTGGCCCAAAAATCAAAAAAGGAAAGTTAAGTAAACCCTTGCACCATTCACATAATCCTGTTAGCGGAAAATGTGTTGTCCAGTTTGCTAGTTTTGTGTATTGAACAAAAAAGACATATTATTCTTATGGATAAATGCCATTATTCCAAACTTAAACTTATTTATATTTCTGAAAAAATATTTGTTCCGACTTTTATCCTTTTTTTTTTTTTGCTTTATGGGTCACACCCAGCGATGCACAGGGGTTATTCCTGGCTCTTCACTCAGGAATTATTCCTGGCAGTGCTTGGGGAACCAGATGGGATGCTGAGAATCAAACCCGGGTCGGTTGCATGCAAGGCAAACACCCTACCCACTGTGCTATTGCTCCAGCCCCACAACTTTTATTCTTGACATATATATTATGGAAGAAGGGAGAAACACCAGAAAAGAATGTAATATGTTTATAGACAGAATTAGAATGATACAGTCCAACAGGCAACATAAAACAATTTTTTTTAGTTTTTGGGTCACACCTGGAAATGCACAGGGGTTACTCCTGGCTCATACACTCAGGAATTACTCCTGGCGGTGCTCGGGGGACCATATGGGATGTTGGGAATCGAACCCGGGTCAGC